CATTTCACCAAAAAATGGTTCACTATAGATTGTATCCAATAAATAAGCTGCACGCAGCCCTTGACTTTAGATGCTTTATTAATTTTTTTACAAATCGATTTAGCTACGTGCCAAGGATCGAATTAATAATTTATGGTTTTAAATTGAAGATTAACTTTTAATATTTTTTGAATTTGTTGATGCCAATCAGTTGATATAAAATTAATTACGTCATTTTTTTGGAATTTTATCAGCAATTTTATGAAACCTTTTTTTCCATACAATTTGAATTTGCTACTTCCGTTACAGATATTCTAGTTGTGGCGATGACATGCCCTGATTCTGGTTCCATAAATGTGTTAGTGTAATACTTAGCAAGCTTGGTCAAGAAGCAGGAGCGATCCCTCTTGATTACTGACCACAGAATATTTAGTTGTGAAAAACTGTCCAGACTTTTTATTTGTTTTGAGAACATTTCAAAAAACAAAAAAAAAAGCGTAAAAAAGATTAATTGGACCGATGAGAGACAATTACAAAGAAAAAATAAACTAGGAAAAAAAAATAACAAATAAAAATATAAAAGAAAAATAAAAAATAGGAAAAACATAAAAGAAAAATAAATTATATTTAGAACAAATATTTTCAAAAACATTGCTCTTTATAATTTTTTTATAAAATTAAGTGACATATTTTATATAAATTAACATCTTATGATTGCTTAAAAAGAACCAAATGCTCTTTTATTTATTTAAAGTGTATAATATAATTTTTATTTATTTACTTGTGTCTTATTTCCAGTGCAGTGATGAAGAAGGGTTGGGGTTAGAGAGGGCTATAGTCCTGGACCTTGCAATGGCAGGGGTCCCGAAATAGTCAAGAAGACCTTTTTTTTATTCATTTTTACGCTGTGGCACATGAAAAAAGCCTCCAAAAATGCCCCAAAATGCCCCAGCTCCAAAAAGTCCAACAAGATTCTAATAAAACTAATAAAACTAACACTAGTTTTAGCTTTATTTAATTATAAATAAAATAATAATTTTTTTAATAATTATTTAATGCTTCGCGTAGTTTGAAAAGTTTAACATATTTGAAACAATTTTTCTTAGTAAGATGAAGAAATGAAATAATTAAATCATTGAACTGCTGTAGAAGTTAAATTAACTAGATAGAAATCAACTAAAAAGATTAAAAATACTTTATGAAGAGAGAGAAGAACTGCTTCACAATAACGCTGATGATGTTTAGTGAGTGGGCTTTTTAATTTTAATTAGTATTTAAAACAGAAAAAAAGTATATAAGTAGAAAACGGGTCTGAATTTACACTGAAAGTTTCAATATTTATCAGCTACTTGTATGTTTTTTAATTTCTTTTTAACATCTTTAAGATTATTGAATCCTTCCTTTTTAATCGTAGTATAAAAGTTGTCCTTGATGGACAGCACTCTTCTTTTTATTCTGTAACCTCAGGGGTTCCTCAAGGTTCAATCCTTGGCCCTATACTCTTTTTAATTTACATTAACAATCTTCTAGATATTCTCACATCTAAGGTGGCATTGTTCGCTGATGATACTACCATTTATTCTTGTCACAATAAGAAGCCAATTCCCTCTGATTGCTTCCAGGGGGCATTTGAGCTTGAAAAGGATCTCACTTCTGCTACAGCATGGGGCTCACAGTGGTTGGTGAACTTTAACTCAGATAAAACTCAATTATTTTCAGCCAATTGTTATCGCAATAATTTAGACCTTCCTATATTTATGAACGGTAATGTACTCGATGAGTCTCCTACCCTTCATTTTCTAGGATTAACTCTTACTTCTGATCTTTCTTGGAAACCTTATATCAAATCCGTTGCAAAATTAGTACCTTCTAAAGTTGCTTCTCTTTATCAAGCTCGTCACTTTCTTACTCTGGATTCTATTCTCTATTTCTATAAGTCTCAAATCCGGCCTTGTATGGAATACTGTTGCCATATCTGGGGCGGATCTTCTAATGATGCCCTTTCTCTTTTAGACAAGGTGCAAAAATGCATTGTAAACATAGTTGGACCTGCTTTTGCAGCCAACCTTCAACCACTGTCACATCGTCGTAATGTTGCTTCTCTTTCTCTTTTCTACAAATACTATAATGGGCACTGCTCTAAAGAGCTAGCGTCTCTTGTGCCATCTACTAAAATTCATTCTCGTGTTACTTGTCATTCAATTAAGCCTCACCCTTTTTCTGTTACTGTTCCTAAGTGCTCCAAAAACTCTTATTCGTCTAATTTTTTTCCTCAAATATTAGTTCTTTGGAATTCGCTTCCTTCATCTTGCTTTCCTGATTCATGTAATTTGCAATCTTTTAAGTCGTCTGTCAATCGTTATCTTGCTCTGCAACCTTCATCTTTTCTCTTCCAGTAACTTCTAACACTAATTAGTGGTTGCTTGCAGCCTTGTTGGAAGCAAAGATGTTAAAAAAAAAAAAAATTCTTAAGGCCGATTTTCACATAATTTTTTTTTTTTAGTTTTGAGAAATAATTTTTTTGTTGATAAGTAAAAATTTATAAATGGGAGGGGAGGGGGGCTTAATGAGCATAGGCTGGATGGGAAAATTTTCTAAAAAATAATTAATAAACATTCGCCCCACCCACTTCTAGTAAATCCTTGAGAGTATATATATATATATATATATATATATATATATATATATATATATATATATATATATATATATATACATATATATATATATATATATATATATATATATATATATATATATATATATATATATATATATATATATATATATAAAATATGTAAAATTCAATAAAAACAGCTGCGTATAAACTTTTTAAAAAATATATATTTGTTTTTATTTTAATATATTTAAGTTCGACAAAAACTTGGAAGTGATGAAAAAGTTTTAAATAGGGATGATGGTGATTACGTGACGACAAAAACTTGGGGGCCATTTTTTGTTAGACTATTTGACGTCAACATTTAAAGCTATTTTGTATTTTGTTATGCTCTTTTTAATGTTATCTTTTTAACGGTTAGTTTTTATTACAACAATTTTCTTTGTAACAATTTTTATTTATTACACCTGATGACGCTGATCACAATAGATCAGCGAAATACCGAAAAAATATATTAAAATAAAAACAAATATATATTTTTTTTAAAGTTTATACGCAGCCATTTTTATTGAATTTTACATATTTTATTATTATCATATAACAAGAAAATGACTTTTAAAGATTATATATATATATATATATATATATATATATATATATATATATATATATATATATATACACACATATATATATATATATATGTGTGTGTGTATATATATATATATATATATATATATATATATATATATATATATATATATATATATATATATATATATATATATATATATATATATATATATATTAGACTGCTTCATTTTGAGGTCATGAAAAAATTTTAAGTACCATGGAGTGTTATCTGCTGCGTTGACCCTTATTTTATTAGTAGAATTTTTTTTTTTTTAAATTTTGACCTTTTTTAGGGGTTGCTCAAGTGCCTCAAAAGTCATATTTTAGGCTTTTTTACCCTTTTTTAAGCCCATTTTTCGCATATTTGAGCAAGTACTAAAACTCAAAAAAATTGATTTTTTTTTTTTTCTAGAGTTATTTCCAAGTTAGAATAAAAAAATTAAAATGCATGGTAATTTTATTTTATTGAAATAATTTGTGTAAATTTATCTACAAAAACCCAAAGTTATGCAGATTTTTACCGAATATTACGCATTGCAATATTTTTAATGGATATGTTAAGCCATTTGGAAAAAAAAACCTAACTATGTTGCATAAAACATCTATATATAGCATTAAAGGTCTATAAAAACTTAATTATATTGCATGAAACTTCATTAAATTACATGAAACAAAAAAAAATCTAATTATATTGAATAAAACGCCTAGCAATTTTGTTTAACAAACTTCTTTATAATTGAATTTCTGTAAAATTTATAATTATTTTTTAAAAATGTTATGTTATATTTTTATATTGTTTTTTTGTTTTTTTTCTTGGATTTCTTAGTTTTTCCTCCATACTTCCTTTTGTAATTATGCAAAAATAAAAGTGAATCCTGTCTTTTCTCTTCTTTTCGGGCAATATCAATTTTGTCTTTTATGAGTTTAACGATTCTTTCCGAGCAATCATTAACAACAGAAAGATTAAAAACTGCCTCCTGAAATTTTAAGTAGAAATCGTTGCAAGTCCAATATTCTGGAGGGGTTTTCATCCATTGACAGTCACTTTTACTTTGGCCTATCATAAGGAACAATAGCCACGAATTTTCTGTGACCAAATGAACTAAGCTGGGAGGCTTCGGTCCACTGAAGTCTAAAGAATTAAGGACCTCTATGTTAGCACTTATTCGGGGTAACTGATATTCATCCATACTATGAAATTCATAGCTGTATAGTTTTTGAGCAATATCACCTCTTTCTTTACATTTTTCATCAGCTAGAGCTAGTACAATAAGGTAAGGGTCCAGAAACCATGTGTGGCGTTTGATAGATTTAATGACTGATTCTGCCCCAATCAAATTGTACTCCTTAAACCTATTCATTTGCCAAAGCGCTCTCATATCCTGGATAAAACAAAAAACTGTTAATCTTTCTTTAAAAAAAAATTATTTCTTAGATTACTTTTAATAATTATCTAAACTTTTTATTCAAACTAGAACCCTTTTATATACTATATATATATATACATATATATATATATATATATATATATATATATATATATATATATATATATATATATATATATATATATATATATATATATATATATATATATATATATATGTATATATATATATATGTATATATATATATGTATATATATATATATATATATATATATATATATATATATATATATATATATATATATATATATATATATATATATATATATATATATATATATATATATATATATATATATCATACTTTTTAAGTTGGTACCTACCTGATTCGGAGCAGCAGCGGATAGTTCAGCTTTGAGAAACCAGGTAGTATAGAAAACAGAGACAAAAGTTGCCACTTCAGTAACTTCATGCTTCAGCCATTTTTCCAGACTAGGTATAGCATCCATCATAAGTTGGAGTTTTAGGTAGTAGATACCTATAAAAAAAGTCTTTTTTTTTTTAATTTTTTAAAAAGACTAATATTTGATAATGTAAAACAAATTCCTTTTTTTTGCAACTTGAACCTTTTTTTATCATGAACCTACAATTCCTTACCTTTTGCCATAAAGCGGGCATGGTGGACTGCTCCGGGAGTACGAAATTTGTACCTGTCCTCAGAAAGCACAATAAGTGTAAGCTCTGCCAGCTCAATGTAGTCCTTCCTTGTAGCCCCATCCTAAAAATGAAATAAAATAATAAGTATTTAGGTATAATAAAATAAACCTATTTATATTTTAGTATAATAAAAGATAATAGAATTAAAAAAGAAAAATTTATAAAAAAATTTCAACATAAAAGTACATACTACATAGATACCTACAAATTCAGATATCTAGTTATTGGCTACCTTTTTTAGAGACCCACTGGTGATAATACTGGAATAGTCAATCTTCTCAAAACCTTATTTATTCAAAACGTAAAAAAAAAATTCAAAGAACTCAAAATTGGAAAAAGAAAATTATTTGGAAAAAATAATATTTCACAAAATGGTAGCTAATTTTGTAAAAACCTACCTGGTTGTCTGCATCAAGATCATTCCATGCTGATTTTAAAGTTTTAAACAGCAGATTATCTGGTCCAGAAGTAATGCTACTTTGATAATTTTTCCAGAAATGTGTTATGTGTAGCTCATTGACATGATGTCGGCATGCAATAGATAGAACTGGTCGTTAAAAGACTTCATTTACCAGTAAAGATACAGCTCCATTTTTTTTTCCAGCGTTGATTCTGCTAGTATCAAATGTTACAGCTTGTATATTGTCTGTAAGGTTAAAGCAATTTAAGATATCTCTGATTGCATTTTTTTGATTTTCGCCAGTTCCAGAAGAAATGGGTGGAATTCCCAACAGGTGCGTTTTCTTGTTAGCGCTTATTAATATTGCTAATCGATCTTGTTCCAATTTTTTTCCATCAGTATATTCATGACATACTTTTCCATCAAAATGGAATTGAACTAAAATGTTCTTATTGATTTTTTTTAAACTTCTTAAATCATCCTTGATCCTATTTGATTCATCATGAATGACCTTATCTGCAGCGCGTAATGCTATAGAGGTTGAAGATTTAAATTCAGCTACATTTCCACCCGATTTAGCGATTATACTATTAATCATGGAAGCATGCTGCCTATGACTTATTCCTTTTCCAACAGCAATATCAGCAGTTCTCTTGAGAATATCTTTTGGAAGCATAACAGTATTAGTTTTTTTGACTTTTTTCTTTAACTCTGGATCTGGGTATGAAAAATCATCATTACCTTCATCTTTCTCCAATCCATTTGAGCTGAATTCACTCTCTGACATGGTTTCATGCAAATTTGATTTCCTTTTAATTTTGGATAAACTCCTGTTTACAGAGTAAAGGTACCTTGTATCGATTCCACCTATTCTAGTTTTTCTATCTCCTAATTGGTCTAATAAAAATGCAATATCTTCAGTCTTGTCTTGATCCTTTCGTTTCCTATCAGCTTTAATGATTGCAACCAGAGTATCGAGCTCAGGTGCAATCCAAAAGATACTTTCATCTGAGTTAAAAACCTCCTCCTTTTTTCAATCTCTGATAAAGTTTGTCTTGCTTTGTTTTTTTTTAACATTCTCCAGGTTCGGATCAGCTTCTCTATCTTTATACTAAAAAATGTGATTTATAGGTTCGGTATATTTTACAACACACCTATTTCTGTTTATTAACTTATTTAACAGCAGACATTAGTTATATTAATATTTTCCGCTAATAAGTAATAATATATAAATAAAAAAAACATATACAGTCTGGTACCTACCTAATTGTTTGTAATTGTAAAATCTGAAATCCACCCTTCAACCTAGGTGTAATTAACTTTGAAAGAGTGCAGCAAATATGTTTTTCATTATGGCAGCTGATTTCAAAGTTTTTTGTCAATGGACAGTGGATAATTCTACTTTCTTTTTGTTTTGGGTACTTCTCCTTCAAATGCAAGAAGTATTGCAAAACCTCTTGCTTTGTAGCAAACTTGTCTTTTGGTAAGGATGACCTGGATTTCCTTACCAAAAAATGTGTCAACTTTTTTCTTACTTTTCCCTGACATGAATAAATCGGTAGTAAATAGCTTTAATTAGTATATGGAGTAAGTATATCATAAGAGTAATCTATATTTATTTCCCGCATTTTTTTAATCAAAATTAAATATCGTTTTTGTTAAAAAGTAATTTGGATAACATGTTTAAGCAAATACGCAACATTTTTAAATTAACGCGAAGCGCAACAATTGCATAACTTTGCGTTTTTGTAATTAAAATTACAGAAATTATTTCAATAAAATAAAATTACCATGCATTTTAATTTTTTTATTCTAACTTAGAAAAAACTCTAGAAAAAAAAAAATTCAATTTTTTTGAGTTTTAGTACTTGCTCAAACGTGCGAAAAATGGGCTTAAAAAAGGGTAAAAAAGCCTAAAATATGACTTTTGAGGCACTTGAGCAACCCCTAAAAATGGTCAAAATTTAAAAAAAAAAAAATTCTACTAATAAAATAAGGGACAACGCAGCAGATAACACTCCATGGTACTTAAAATTTTTTCATGACCTCAAAATGAAGCAGTCTAATATATATATATATATATATATATATATATATATATATATATATATATATATATATATATATATATATATATATATATATATATATATACATATATATATATATATACATATATATATATATATATATATATATATATATATATATATATATATATATATATATATATATATATATATATATATATATATATATATATATATATATATATATATATGTATATATATATATATATATATATGTGTATATATATATATATATATATTTATATATATACATATATTTATATATATATATATATATATATATATATATATATATATATATATATATATATATATGTTTAGTAACCAGGTATATATATGTTTAGTAACCAGAAACCTTTTTTATGTTTATTTCATAACTAGTTTTATCAACTTTGATGATTTAAAACGCAATTATTGTTGAAAGTCTTTTTTTGTACAAAATAAATCTTACAAAATTGCTTTAAAAGATTACATTATAATAAAAAACAGATACACAAAATTACATTACAAAAAATTTACATAAAGAATATATACTTTTTAAATAAAAAATAAAAATATACTTACAAAATCTATAATATGTAATAAACTTTCAAAATTTTGACAATTTAAAAAATATAATTTAAACATTTATTTTAGTAAACAAATAATAATATAAAAAATTTACTGCTTTGCAGATGTGGCTCCGAGAACGAGCCCTAATATTAAAATAATAGTTCATTTGATAATATATTTTTAAACCAATTTATGCTAAAAATCTTAAAACCAAGTCATGCTAGAAACCTCAAAACTTAACAAATATTGAATGATGCAATTTTTAAAGTAGTCCAGTCGAATAAGATTATTTTCGGTAAAAAATTTTTATAAAGCTGAAACTTTGCCCAGTAATTCCCTAAGGTATATAGATCACGTAAAAAAAAATGCCCCACAATTCTCAATAGGAGAACCCCCTTTTTCAGGCCCAATTTCTAAATGACAAATGCCCAAAATGGTCAAAACAATATATTTTTGAAAATTGACTTATTATATACCATTTTAAAGCATTTTTTATGCTGAACAACTTTTTGAAAGACACTAAGGTCTTTAAATGAAAGGGCGACTAGTTATTTAACAAATAAATGCTATAAGTAATACATTAGGCAAATTTTTTTTGAAAGTTTTAATAAAAATTTTCATTAAAATGGTCATTTGTCACATTTAATTAAATCTAAATTAAATCTTTTTTTTAAATTATATTTCTGGATTTAGAAATCAGGGAAACATAATATATTCTTATCATCATCTTCATAATTTTCCATTTCGTTTTCTTCTTCAATTTCATTGCCTTAGAGGAAATAGACAAGCAAATTTACGACTGATATTTTTTAGAAATATTTATATGTGATAATAAAGATAAATGATGAGAGAACACAACTTTTTTCTAATTTTCATTGTTTAAATTTACCTTTCTATTCATACATTCTGTTCCACAACATTCTCCACAAAATTGCAAGCACCATATTCCGTATTTCCTGCACGAACATGCTTTGCCACCACATGGATTTTTTATTGTGTTCTTAATGATTAGCAAAATAGGAAATTGTTGTAGTTAGAAATAAAAAATATCTTAGTTTAAATTATATAGATAAAGTTTTGTATGATCTTTTCAAGGACTTTGAAAAAATACATTAATTTACATTAAAATACATTAATTTAAAACAAAACAAATCTTGCAATTACATCTAATGACCCTTGTTAGTGCTTCTGGCGCAATGTCTTTATCGTTTATTATAGGTGTGATTACTCTGTGGTGTTCTTTCCAGCCCCATTCAGTTTGTTTTACTTTTTCCAAACACAGACGAAACAGTGTCACACCCTAACCATGCATGGACAAAGAGCAGGTGTTATTTTATGGTTTTGTTTTTTAAACAAGCATCCTTGATACTTCAAGCTTTATCCCATTTATCTTGCAAAACTTAAATGTCAGACATGTTGCTTTTCCAATGATGAATAAGGATCACTGCGATATCTGTGTCACCTGCCACAACAGTTACATGCTGCCAGCTTGTGTTTGCTATATCAAGAACAGTTTTAACAGCGGTGCTATCAGCATCACCAGGGCAGTTTACAGTCAAATACACTAATTGATTTAAATGATGTGAAAGAAAGTTTATGAATTTAGCTTTTTTTTCAATATTACTTAGAAAACGATTCTGAGTAAATGACACAACTTTATCTTGTTTAATTACTACATTGCAGCTTTGTGGAACAGAATTTCTGCGTAGATACTTGTGACTCTTTATGCCTTCATCTTGGTCAGGGTTGCCATCTGGTTTTTTTTCAAGGGTTTGGTTTGTTTTTTTTAGGTTTTGCTTGAGATTTTTTTCCTGGTTTATTTTAGAAAATCTGGTTTAAATCTGTTTTTTTTTAAGTGTTAGGTGTTTTTTTTTCTTTTTGGATTATTTTATTAAATCTGGTTTAATTCTGGTTTATTTTTTGTTAAATCAATTTAATCAAGCTGTTTTGTTTCATAAAAAAAGTGAAATAGAGCGAAGCAAACAAAAATGAATTAAAATTCTATTGAAATTATGAATAAAAAGAAAAAAAGAACGAAAATAAGTAAAAAAAATTTTTGTTTACCACGATTTATAAAAGAAACTCAAAGAAATTTAAAGAATGAATAAACTCTCACTCGCGAGTTTCAACAAGTTCAAACAATTTATTTGGATTCGTTCCATTCATTTAAAACTTGGTTTTTTTCTTTCTTTCTAAAAATTTTTTCTTTCTGAAAATTTTTTTCTATAAATTATTGCATCTGCGGAAAATATTAGAAAATTTTGGCATTTAAAAAGATGATTTAAAGCGAAATACTTAACGTAAAAAAGGTAAAACAAGTTTTTAAAAACTTTTCAAAAGTTTTCTGCAACTCGTTGGTTGGTTCGAGGAAAGTGTTTTTATAACTTGCTTGTAAATTGGCAAGAACTATAAGCATTTTTTATTTGTGCCAAAATGAATGCAAACTCTGATGTCCGTTACAAAATCTCTTCAATAAGCAAAATGTTCCAAGACAGCACCCTTTATCTCTATGTTGTTTTTCTCACTCCAGTCATTCAAGAGTTTGAGCGTCTAAACTCTCTTTTTCAAGGGTCAAATGTTGATCCAGAAGATCTAATGAGTGAGCTAAATATGCCTCTCAAAGGCTTAAAGCAGTGTGTTTTTGATACCAAGGGCTTTGTACTTCCTCTACAGTGTGTTGATTTTGGAGCCAAATTCTCCTCAGAGTGCCAGATTTACATTCAAGAGCAACCTCCAAATGCAAAACTGAATGCTGAAGAATCGGTCAGAAATGTAAAAATTCGCTGTCATGGTTTCCTTCAAAAGACTATAACCGAGCTTGAAAAAAGACTACAAGATAACAGATCAATTTTTCACGGCTTGTTCAATCTGTCTCCAATGAAAGTTCTTTCCCAAGTTAAAAAGGTTCCGTTTTCAAAGCGACCTTTTCCTCACCTAATGGGTACAAAAAGTCAAGAAATTGAAAACCAATACAGAAAAGTGAGTACCATTGAATGGACTGAGTCTGCCATTTTTAAATAAATAGAAGTTCCTAAAAATACTGTTGAATTCTGGATAGCTTTAAGGGACTATGTCGACATTTTTGGTCATCCCGCTTTTTGCGACATTTGCGACTACTGCCTTGCTTGCCTGTGGGTTCCTATTTCTAACTGTTTTGTTGAGAGAGTCTTTTCACAGGTCACCTATGTGAAAAGCAAACAGAGAAACAGAATGTCAAACCAAGTGTTGGATGCAGTCATTCAAATAAAATCTTATTTAATGAGCCGAAAGATTTGTTGTAAAGACTTTAACATTCGCGATTTAACGATTTCAAAGGTCGGAAATGAAATTTACGCAACAGAAGCATGCGAAAATGAAGATGAACATCAAGTATTAGCGGAACTTTATTAAATGTTTTAAAGATTTACACTTAACAAAATAAATTTTTTAATAAAATAGTTCTACTTTACTTAATTTTTTTTTTTGTTCT